CCCCAAAACCCCAAAACCCCAAAACCCCAAAACCCCAAAACCCCAAAGAGTAGGAGAATATGGATGTTAATACAGAATATTTTTAATCCTGATCTCTACAGCTGAGAAGAGGCTCTACCAGGCCTCTTAGCCTGCTTTCCTCTCCTTTTTTGTGTGGAAGGATATCCAAAATCAGAAGGAAGTATGTAGCTTCCTGGCCCTGGTCCATCCATTGAAACTCTTTGAGTTGATACTCTATTGGCGCCACCCAATACGGTTGAACCTGAAGATTTGAAAGTTGACAAAAAGTAATGTCCAGTACTTGCCAGGCCAGTTCTTGGTGTGTACTGTCCAGGCCCAGGCATATCTCCGCTGGTCTTAGTATTATCTCTAAATCTCGAATTTGTTGGAGGGCCGATAGCTCCATTACTAATTGATTTATACCGAGAACAAAAATTTTTGCCTGTTTTAGGAATTGCAGTATGATTTTGATAAGTTCCTGGTCCAGGACCAATTACTCAGGATTGAAGATCTTTTAATTTTCCTTTCAGTGTGATTTTTCTGCCTTTCTCTCCAAAAGTGGGAACTTCCTTATATGTTCCTGGTCCAGGAACATTAGGGTCAGATGCTTTTGTGTTTTTAAACCCTTCTTTTTGATAGACTTTGTTATAGGCTTTCCAGCTACAACGGAAGCTATACATCTTTCCTTTTCTCACTGGATCAAAATCAGAAGGGATCTTATAAGTCCCAGGTGAAGGAGACTCGTTACTTCCCAGTAGTTGAAACTTTATTCCCATACCCAAATGAAGTAGACCTATTTGATTTTGTAGTAGGCAGGTTTAGATACCCAGTACCGAATTTATCCTTGAGATTGGTGCCAAACCTATCTGCTTTAGAGAAAGAAAACTGCTGCTTTGAAGTAGAACTATTCAACGGATTATTCATCACACTCTTTGATCTCTCAAGCACTTTTGCCATTTTCTGTTTTATTGTAATTTATATTAATTTCCCAAAATTATTCAGCCTGAATAAATTCACTTGGGGTTTTGGGGTTTTGGGGTTTTGGGGTTTTGGGGTTTTGGGG